GCCTGATCCTGCATAAGAATGGCAGACTCGAGGGCAGCGCGTAAATTCTCCCGGGACCAAAGTAGGCGAACCGTAGTAAGGCTCTTCTGCCGCGCGGACAAAACCGCCAGTAATGCTGTATGAGGAGTCCGCAATCGTTGCAGCACCGTCATCTCACCTCCTCCAACACTACGGTTAACTGTCTCCGTGTTAGCAGCAATGCGAGGCAGCGGTGTCCTGGAAGGGACGACGGTGTCGTCACCTATCATGCTCCACATATTGGCGAAGGGATCATTAATGTTGGAGCCTTTACCTTCCGATGCGTTAAACTAAAACGAAGAGGAGGCAAAATGCTGGTATGTATTGCACACTGGCTAGTGTCAGCATTTGGAGAGGGTAAAGCCCGCAACTCGGAAAATTTCCACTTCTGCAGATGGACCCAAAGCATTCCAAAAAAGTCTAGAAACTCACACTCGCATGACTTCCCTGATTACACAAAATGGTGAGCAGACAAACTTCAAACGTGATATTGGTAAAATACCCAAAAAGGTAAGAATAGTACCGTTCTGTGGTTACATTAGTCTGCAGTGACATACGCACAACTCATACTTCGAGATTATTCATACTTGTTTTCCGCATCGGAACCCATCTTCCGATAACTAGGGTTGGAAACCTTAGGCATACATAAACAAAGACGGATTCGTAACAGTTTCGCGGAGGAAACCATTGTAGTTGACTAACAGAAGGGTTGACGCCCTTCAATCCAAAAAGGATGTATGATAACACCATGATTGAAATGATGATACAATAGTCAAGGCTGCAGATAGGACTTCATGACAGCAAACTGTTATGATTGGTTAGAAAGAATCAAATAGAGAGGAACCAGTAGTATTTGTAAGCTTGCACGTTTTATTGGTTGACCCTTTGGGTTAAGCATGAGAGAATGGTGAAGTGATTTGCCCACACAAAGCACGCCTTTTGGTTTACACGCCCTCTAATGGATGTGCAGAAGTTAGCACTGAAAGACGACTAGCATTGCCCAAGGCAAATTCAAAAACATGAACAAGGTATGGATGAAGAGAATATTTATAAAACCTATGTGCACTTCAAAAAGAGTGGCGCTCAATTTTAGAGGAAAAAAGCTGTCACTTCAAGAGAAAACTATAATACATTTAATTCACCTAGTAAATTCCTAATAATGAAGCGCAAAAACGATCAACTCTAATTTCAACGTCAAATCATGACAATATGACACGAATTGCGATTTCGACAAGCGAGACGTAATGTAATCAAGCGCCGTGTCACACAGCCTTATTCGCGGGAGGCAGAAATTGTTGTACGTTTACGAGAAAACAATGTGGTAGAGTCCATTGACTCTTTCTTTGGCTCAGTTAACGTGTCAGATTAAGTAGCGACTTGAGCAGTTGAATGATATCGATAAAATGGGGACAATGGGAATCAGTTTGGAGTGGCTAACCTCCGCTACCAAAATGAAACAAAGCGAGTGAACTTAGGGAGGGTGCAAAGTTGGTTGCATGAGTCACTGATGACAGATTACGCCACAGCCATGATTTGTAGAACTTACAGACATAAAGTCGGAGATCTCCAAGTTATTGTCATCTGCACCAACGGTTTTGTCAGCTAAAAGGTAGAGGGAAACGGCTAGTGTGAGACGCATTAATGCAGAGCTGAAAAGGGCCATTATCAGAGATCGGAGGAGATTCACCACAAATTACCACAAGGCGTTAGCTTCAAGGA